TTTGATAGAAAAAATGGAGAAAGAGACACAGGGAGTAACATTAGTTAGCCTTTTTGTGGATACACACTCTCACATACACACACACAAACTTTAACATGACCAAAATGTTTGTGGCAGACATTTGTAGTTGGCGAACAAATAGGAGGCAAGAGACAAAGAACATTAAGACACACACACACACACACACACTCAGATGAGTAACCCATCTGTAGTGAGATCGCTATACCAGCTGTTCACATTACTTTCTCCTCAGTGGACATTTGGTTTCTGTGTCTCCCTCTCTCAATTCTTTTCTACTGAGCAGCTAAAGCTGCTGAAAACAGTGACCAAAGAAAATTCATCACCACATTAATTGAATCTACCACATTGTAAAAGCTGTAATTTCTGTTAGTAAACAGGGCAGTCACTTTACTCAGGGGTCTCACAAGCAGCATGGACTGTGAATGCTATATGCCAATGATCTTTGGCAGATTAACTTGTTATTTAACACAATTCAATAGCTCCAAATCATAACATAAATTGTTCAAGGCACTTAGCTCATATTAAGGTTATTATAGAGAAAAATTATTCATGAGCAAGCACTTTGACGACTGTAGGTGGGTGGGCATCTGAAGAAAATGGGGAAGACAGGAGATAGAGGGGGGATGTATCATATTTATTTATTTTAATAGCTCTGTCCGACTGGTGTAATGAAATGTATCGATGTAATTATGTTATTAATGATAGCAGTACCAGCAGCCAATGACGTAACACACAGCCGGCAAGAGAAACCAGGTTTGTGACAAAGGACAAAGATAGTGCAGGGAACAGTTTTTCAACCGGACGCTCCGAGTTTGTTGATTATCTTTAAATTTGTTATTTTGTTACTCTGTACTTGTACAAAATTTACTTACTACCTTTGGTTTGAACTAGACGTAAGGCCATCTCATATAAACACATCTAGACTACATGCAAACATTCATCCACCTCATCTGTGTGAGCAGTTCAACTCAACTCATATGTTGTCTGATTGGCTTTAAAATGCAAAGGAAGAATAAAAGCCAGAACAAAAGTGGAAAAACTCTCAGCAAGAAGACTTTACATCATGATTGAATTGTCGTTGAATCATGAATTAGTATTGAAATGCATTATTTGAGTTGTGATACTGTGAAGAGGAAACTGATATTTACATGCCTTGCCATTCGCTCTCATAAATGCTTTCTCCTGTTAAACATGTATGTATAGATCATGGATGCCTTAACGCTGCAGCCAGTATTAAACTGACACGTGTGTACGGATTTTGAATACTCCTCAATGTGAATGATGTGAACACAGCAGATCATGCATACCGTGGCCTAACAGCAGATCCAACGGTCCTCAGTTACTCTTAGTATCAGAAGAGCAGTGGCCAGAACCTCCTGAACAACTTGAAACTTCAAGAGTTTGCCACCTTGAAGAAAGAACACTGAAATGTTAAGGAAGACCTAAAGATGGACCAAGGAGTGTTAAGGGTCGACAGAAGACTTAGTAGAATGGCCATGCCCGAAGAGATAAAACACCCAGCCATTTTGCCCAAAAGGCATCATGTATCCAGATTGAATCTAGAGCACATTCACATACAAACTGTAGACAGTGGTCGGAATCACTTGTTATCAGTCCTGCAACAGAAGTTCTGGATACGATGCACTAATTTGTTGTCAGGAAAGGTAATTTCTGAGCAAAACATACTGTCCACCTCGAAGTGGCTCATTCGTTAGACACAGATTCTTCCATCAATGCACTCAGATGTTTCATATGTCGCCAGGGTCAAGTTATAGGAGACAAAAAGTAGGGGCATATAGATGTGCCCAGAACAGGACTTTCATCAAACACTTTAAGTGTGGCACAGATTGCAAGTTGCAACAACTTAACTGAAGAGCATTTGACATGGAAATGTTTTGTTTGTTCATCAGAATTTTACGAAAAGTTTCAGCAAAACTTAGGCATTAATTCGGAAAAAATTTAATAATTCAAGGGTCCTCCGATGGTCACTACTCAAACCCTAATAATAGTTGTTGAGAACACAGATAAACAGAGAGAGAGACACAGAGACTTTGATTTGTTTTTATTACTAACCCCCTAAGTATTGGGCCAAGTACAAAACCTTGTGGAACTCCATGACTATAGCTGCTTTCAGACATGCAAACTTGATGACGCTTCTAACATGCAACAGATGCAAAAAAGGAAAAAAGAAAGAAAACAAGTATCTCCTATTGAAAAAAGGTGCCTCACTCGTCGAAGACACCATCTAAAATTTCTAGAGTTTTTGGTGTTAAGAGCTGTGGAGGAAATTTGACTTGGTGAGACTTTTGAAATAAAGAGAATTTTATATTGCACATTTATTCTTTATCGAAGGAGGTCAAAAATATGGAGTTTTTTTCTATCTTTATTCAAGAGCGTGGTCTTTCAGTTTGAGAGCGTGACTTGTTACTCTTTAACCAGGTTCATCCACTCACAACCCTCTACGGCTTTATTAGGTGATGTATGTGCGTAGGCAGCTGGTGTGTGTGCGTAAACAATAAGAGTGTGTGTGCGAATGGAGTACGAAGTAAACCCCCAGAAAATAAGATTGGAGAGAGCACAGTGATTACCAGTGGCTCTGATGTCCGGATCTCTCAGAGACCGGTACCTAGTAAATTTAGTCAATAAACTTCATGATAAATCTGCCATGAGACAGGTCACCAACAGACATCTTGTCAGGTCACACATTATATGGTCATCTTGTCAAACATGATATGCATAAGCAGATATAATAGTGTGGTTACATAAGCATGCATGAGCAGACATAATACATCGTAGTATGATAATATAATTTTCCATTTCAGAGCTGACGACATGTCACTTCCTTTTGATGCTGCTGTTGTGAATGCTTCTGTGCAGAAAACCTCCTGTTGTGTTTTGCATGTGTGAAAGGCAAACTCTGGGTGAATTCCATAGCCAATTCTCTGGATTTTACCAGCAGGTGATGTGTGAAAATGGCTTAACTGCTGTGTAGTAACAAGAGATATAGACAAACAATACAAGGAGGACAGGAATAGTGAATAGAGGCCAGTTAATAGAAGCAGAGAGAGAGGGAGAGAGACAGTATGTTTGTGTGTGTATTGTTATGTTTGTGAAATAATGATAATATTGATAATAGTAACAACAATAATAATAATTTGTCAGAGAGTTCAATAAGGGGTGTTCAAGAAAATATCATGAAATAAGTACATATACATCAATATTAACAATATTAATAATAATCTTGGCAGAAAAAGTTAATAAATGGAAGAATGTGGTAGAATGATCAGAATCACAAATGCTGTGGTTGAGCAGTTTTGGATAGTATTATAGATATGAGAGAAACTCTGTAATTCTCCAGTTTAATCAACAACTGATATCATTTTGTTGTTAAGCCAAAAACGACAGTGAAGTCTTCAATGGAATTTCTTAAAGTGATACTTCACCGAAAAATGAAAGTCTTAAAACATGATGGAAATGATCTTGTTTCAAGTTGAATATGAATTACAGGACTTGTGGTCACTGTGATGACACCACATGATCAGTCTGGAAGCATGTTATGTTTTTCCTGTTTTATTACATCTGAATAAGGGGACACCTTGACTTCAATTGTATTTTGATACAAAGTTTACCCCTGACACTCCAGAATTGGGTCAGTGTGACAGAAACACCTTCAAAATAAAAAGTTCACTTTTTGGGAGGTTTTTTGAGAGACAGAGAGAGAGGGAGAAGTGCTCAGATGCGGACAGCACACTTACAACAAAAAAACCGTGATCATTGAAGGACAAAGCTGATAAAGTGTGGACACATCCCAAACATACCTTACCTATAGAGATAGGACAACCGCAATCAACCTTCATTTCAATGAGGGTGTTATTAACAAGTGGTAGTTGTCTATTAGCTAATGTGAAAAGAGTCCAAACACCCTTGACCTATTAAGATAACTACACAACCATTGAATAACAAAAGAGCATGTACTTCTTTGTATTTGTGCTTCATAATTGACGTAACAACCCTGTGGCTCCCAACGCAAACACGACAACACTCGTACACGACAGAGCAGTCGTCCTCCAACCAGAAGGTCGGAAGTTCGATTCCCAGTCTTCCCATCTGCATTCCAAAGTGTCCTTGGGCAAGATGCTGAACCCCAAATTGCCCCATAGAACAACAATAAAAGTGCTACTCTAGATGCACTGTATGTATGAACGTGTGTGTGAATGGGTGAATGGCAAACTGTAGTGTAAATCGCATTGAGTGGTCTTCAAGACTAGAAAAAGGCTATATAAATACAACCATTTACACCCCTAATCACCCCTAATCAGTCTTTGTCATACATTCAACATATCATGCTGATAATAAATTCTTATCTGTGTTTTTCCTTTGTTCATGTCTTTAGAGACTTATTCAAGAGATGAGTCTGGGGGAGTACAGGGATGAGCGCCCAACTCCTGGAGAGGCAGCCAGGGTTAGTTTTTTTTTTTAAATTTGATGATGCATCAGTGCAGGCATGGTAAAGGTAATTTGAAACTGTAGGGACATACCTACAGAGAAAGGAAAGGCTGTGGCCTGCACTTCTCCAAGCACTGCATTAAATTTTTTTTAAATATTCACAGGCAGTACTAGGAGGACATTACCGTATTTGACCATTTTAGAGAGCCTGGTGATGACAACAGTGAGTACTGATATGCAGCATATCAGCATTTCATTTATTTGCAAATGGCTTTTTTGGTCAGCGAAACCATGTTTTAAGATCAGGGAATTTGTCCAAGGACAGTACACAGGTTACATACAGGTTTACACATTTGCTTTGCTTTGCTTTTTTAATGTAATGTATTTAAAGTGCCATTAATTATATTTGTTCGATTGAGTTTACGCTAGAATGAAAAGTTTAATAACAAAAATAAAGAAATTCAACAAATTGGCTTTATTTATGATCCCTCGACATCGGCAACAGCCAGTGGCTGGAGGCATAATGTTTTCAGGTTGCAAATGCAATATGTTTGTTGTATCTCGGACATACATGGCCCAGTTGTCTCCAAAAGTGTATATATGACAAGAGTCCCGGCCTGACGACACCTACTCAGAAATCATGACTTAAAATCATAGCAAGCCCTGTTGACAACAGGAAATGTCTTTTTTTTTTGCATTTCTTACACTTTTTGTTTCACTTTTTCAGAAGGGCCTCAAGACATTGATGATGTAGGCATGTGGAAACTTCAAACACCATGTTTGTGGCGTGGCGTCTCCATGACACATGAAATTGCTGTGTCTTCACTGTACTTTAGTGTACATCACACGGTGTGACTGTGGCGTAGCTTCAAATGTTGATGATTCACCAAAAAAGAGGGATTTATTATAACTCCTCTGTGCATTGTCTGATCAGCCCCAAACCTCTTTCACGCGGTCACAGTCCCGCCCTGAACATATGTACAATTTTTGCAACTTTGTGAAAAATTCAAAGATTTGAGGCAAAAAATGAAATAAAGTTAGTTAATAAGATTCAACATAACAATAGCAAAGTTATAGAATTCAGAGCCACCATCTCGCTCTCTGTCATCTTTTGATGAGTCTGTCAATTCTGTTTAGATAGACGTATTCAGAAAACCTTTTAGGGCTGTCAACGAATATTCTAAATTCGAATATATATTCGAATATTAAAAAAAATGAATATTCGATTGTGAAAATTAATATTCGACTTTGGAAAAAAACACATCAGCGGCTGCTTTGCGAGTGGGCGCACTGCATGACAGGTCACGCCGCAGGAGTTGCTCTTGCACAGCGTCACCCACTGCTGAAAGTGAGATGCGACCAGGGTTTCCAGGCGGGTGGACACAAATTTGGGCTTGTTTTGGATCGGTTCGGCGGGGTTTTGTACCCGAAACACGGGCACTTCAGATCCTTCTCCCTGCGACCCGGTGTTCAGCAGGCAGCAGTCTCACTCAATCACTCACATACACACTCACATACACACACACAGCTCTGGCTGACGTGCCCCCTAAACTCGCAGCATACACTCCCACTACCTTAAGCTCACGTCAGCCACAGAGACTCGTTATTACCTTTACAGTCTATGGTTATTACCGACCGTTTATTTAAATCAGTATGCGCATCGCGCATAGAGAGAGAGACAGGGGCGAGTGACGGAGCGTTCTTTTTTTACGGTCTAAGTTTTACGGTTAGTTCATTTACTTATTTTGTAATGTGTAGGTATGTTTTATGTTAAAACTGAAATAAAAATACCTATACAAGTAGTTATGTCTCGTTGTATTAGTTTGTCCTGTTATTGACATGATGCGCATGCGCATATATACGAATGGTTCGAATATATGTGTTTTTTTAGAGCGAATATTCGAACGTCATTTTGGAGCAATTTTGACAGCCCTAAAACCTTTAAATAATATTAATCTACTTACTGACTGTTCAAGAGGTCATTGAAAATATCTCCTTGAATCTGATATATCTGGACTACCAATGGGGAATTTCAGTTTATCTCGCACATAAGCGAGCTAACTGGGCATTGCGCATCGGTGGGCCAGTTAAGATAGACATGATATTTTACCACGGGCCGGTAGTGGTCTGCCGGCCTTGAGTTTGACATCTCTGGATTAGATTTCAGTGGTCAAAGGTCAAGGTCACAGTGGCCTCAAAAATATTATATATATATTAAATATATATTTTGACCTCTTGAATGTGATATCTCAAGACTGCGCAGCGTAATTTCTTTAACTCATTGTCCCTTGGACTCAAAGATGAACTAATTACATATCAGTGTACAAAGGTCACAGTCA